AACATTATACTCCCAAACTGTTTTGTAGTATCTCATGTATCTAATGGGAAGATAAACATTTATGCTTATATAACGGCCTATCTTCATGCCTTACCCATCATTTCAGTTTAAAGTCAAGTTTTAAATCAAAACAGTGATATCAAAACACATCACAATTATGTCTGCAAATTTTTCATGTTATGTTCCGCTACTGACGCTGTCTGTCCCATCCCTAGCTACTCCAGTCTATATGTTAAAAATCTTTACTTGGGAATACATTTATTCTCCTGTTCTGAAACTTGATGTAAACAAAATCATTTCACCATAAAATAGTTGGAAGTTACCCTGTAATCAGATTTGTAATCTGGGTACATCATGGAAAATATAGAAGAATATGCAGAACATCAGCAAAGGCAAAGTAGTAGAGTATGCAGAGAGAACGCCCAAGTACAGTGGTGCCTCGCTTAATGAGTGCACCACAGAACGACGAAATCGCATAGCCATTAGGTTTTAGCGATCGCAAATGCGATCGCATACCAATGGCCCCTATGGGCAAAATCTTCGCAAAGCGAATCTTCGCAAAGCGATGCTGCGGATCAGCTGTTCGGCGGCTCCAAAATGGCCGCCGGAAGCCCTGAAATGGCTACGCGCAGCGTTTTCGCGCCCCCCCTCACTTACCGAGGGCGCGAAAATGGCTGCCGCAATGGAGCAACCTCGCTGAACGGTGAGTTTTGCAGCCTATTGGAACGCATTAAACTAAGTTTAATGCGTTCCAATGGGCTTTTACGTTCCGTACAGCGATGTTTCGCCATAGCGAAGGTTAATCCGGAACAGATTAACCTCGCTATACGAGGCACCACTGTATAGAAAACAGAGAGGCAGACATTATATAATAGGACTACTATACATAAATGGTTGAATAATATGAAGTCTCCCCTTGACCTTCGTACTATGAATGCTTACCAGCTCTAATGTCCCAAAAGAGTACATCAAGCGTTTTGAAATGAAGACAATAATGTATATTATGTGTCAGAAAAAAACATGGATAATGCTACACCATCCAGATTTGGAATTTTTCTGTGAGTATCTCAGTTCCCCACAAATTCCCAGATTGCTCTTCCTCTGCCTAAAATTCTGAAATTTTCAATTCACTAATTCAGGACATGAGAGAGTGCTGCAAGAACTACTAGCAAATGCTTGTGTGAAAATATAATACTGTAATCTACACAACATACAGCAAAATAAAAACACTCAGACCCTTGAATCCATGAACCAATTTAATATAACTGATGCTGAAATGAAATGTTTTTGTACAGCTTTGCTTTCCAGTCTTGTTACTTACGTTAGAAACATCAATGGTCACAAAGAACCAATGCCTAATGCAAGAGAATTAAGTGAGATTTGCTAATAAGGGAAGACAGCCTAAATGGCTTGTTCTGAATATCTGTGTCAAGTTCCAGCTGCTTATAGACAGAAGCACTGCATGGAATGCAGAGAGATGTCACAAATAGTCCCTTTCCCTCTAATATATGTCTGTAGAATGAAGTCATAAAACAAACAAAAATCACATTCATTTTTAGCTAAGAAGAACCTGTTTTGTGTCATTCCTGCATAATTCAGGCAGTATAGTTTGAAATGAAATGGCTGTTGGTCTGAAAAAAGAGGGATCAGTACAGCAAGATATCTCTGTTCCAAGAATACAGAACGCAGCTAAGCAACCCATAAACTGGGATTTTACCACTGGTAACATTCTGTAGATTCCCACTCTAGTGTAGTGGTTTGATGGCTCTTTTGATTTCATTCTTGGAACAGCCATTCGCCTGTAGGGCCCAATTCAGATGGTTGAGTTCGGTGCTGAGAAATTGAGCTTCACAGTTCTGATTTGCACGGTTTACCAGTAGTTTGATTATGCCTCTTTTTTGTCGTGTTTAGTGGTTGGAGTTTTTGTGTAGGTACCAGTCTGTGTGGGTGGGTTTTCTGTAGACCTTGTGTCCCAATAGGAGGTCAGTTCTGTGTATGACCATGACATCTAAGAAAGGGAGTTGGCCCTCTATTTCTTTTTCCATGGTGAATTGTGTATTTGGTTGGATGCTGTTAAGATGGTTTAGAAATTCTTCCAGTTCCTTCACCGTGGTTACAAATTGCAAAGGTGTCATCCATGTATCAGAACCAGAATGTGGGTGTGAAGGGTACCGAAGCCAGGCCCTGTTTTCGAAATGTTCCATGTAGAAGTTTGCTATAACCAGGCTGAGGGCGCTTCCCATGGCCACTCCATCTGTCTGTTCATAGAACTCGTCCCACTGAAAGTAGCTGGTTGTTAAGCAGTGTTGGAAAAGGGCCTTGATATCTTCTGGAAAGATCCGCTGGAGGAGTGTCAGAGTGTCCTTTATTGGTACCTTGGTGAATAGGGATACTACATCAAAGCTGATCAGTCTGTCTCCGGGCTTGAGTTTTAGCTTGCTAATCTTGCTTATGAAATGTCCTGAGTCTTTGATGTAGGATGAGGTTTGTCCAATGTGGGTCTGTAGGAGGGTGGCTGTAGGAATGCAGCATTCATACCAGAATCAAAGAACATGAGAGGCACTGCAGACTAAAACAACCGGAAAAATCAGCAGTAGCTGAACATGCCCTAAAATAAGCCAGACATGAAATTCTATTTCAAAATACTGAAGTACTGGATAGCACCAGCAATCATTATGTTAGAGTGCACAGGGAAGCCATTGAAATCCATAAACACCAGCAGAGCTTCAACAAAAAAGAGGAAAGTCTAAAACTTAATAAGGCCTGGCTCCCAGCACTGGAAAAATACAGCCTGCAAAAGGTCACCATCATCACCCTATCTCCTGAAAAGGCCAAAAGCTGTTCCCACAGCTATAAATACTCAACCACCCAACAAACAGCAACAGAGCATGGACAGAGTTCCTACTCCTGTTCCTCTGAAGATGCTGGCCACAGAGACTGGCGAAATGTCAGGAAGAACAACCTTCAGAACACGCCCAAAGAGCCTGAAAAACCCACAACAACCATTTTATTATTGCTTCTGCAATAGCAGCAGAACAAAACAGGTAACTAAGGTAGTGCTCAGCCTATACTGAAGAGCTGTCTACAAAGCCAGGTTGAAAATGTCAATTTTAATTTTTAAAAATGCTTATATACTACTGGCCGTATACAACAAATCCAGGTCGGGTACAATGATATAACTACCGTATGAGTATACACTGTTGCTAAAACACAAATATACAATATGCTTTGAGGGTCATAAATTAGCAACAGAAACAACAGGCACACTGTAGAATAGATGAACGTATCTTTTGTCTCCAACTCATGAAAAATGAAAGCTGTTTATTATTATACAGTAGAATTGTCACACACCCTAGCAAAAACCTGGGACCTGTTTTTATCCTGCAGAGGCATGTAGGTTACAGACAGGATGTAAAATCAGGACTAAAGCATGTCCTAAGCATATTGCTTTTAATGAGTACTGTGGAGGTTGTATGCAAATTTGATACAAATGGCTTTGAGCTGTTAGAAACATAGTACATAAATATTTTAACAAACTTGCACAAATAAATGTCTATATAAGTCACTCTTACTTCACAGGATTTCTCCTACCCCCTTTTTGTGCTACTAAAACCTATATACTCAGGCATTTGCATTGAATACTAAGATTCACATTGTACTTGATAGGGGAAACCACACAGATCAGTGTCTGCCTTCTACATCCTTCCACGTCTAACCTACATATCCAGATAACGGTTGGCACCCAATGATACCGCTTACTTTGCACGAACTTACAAATTATCTAATGGGAACTGGTATTAGTTCTTTGTTGTTTCCTTTATCTTTTAATACACTGTAAATATTTGGTTAAGCAAGACATACCAGACCCAGGGAGGATAAGGGATATATGATCCATGCCTTAATAAACTGATCAGCAACATTTATAGTCTGCATACACATTTGATTGCATTCTTGAGCGCTCACTGAATTGCCAACAGCAACACATCCACCAACTGTAGTCTGAGAGTTTTGGTTTTGAAAATGTGCAAATTATGCATATTTTCTGTGAGTAATACGACTCATAGCTAAAATATGCAAATTTCTGGCAGTTCTAAAGCTCATGGTATGGTTCTGATGTGGATGTAAAAAGCAATTGGTCCACCCCCAATATTAAAGGACCACATATAATATTCTGATTGTCAACCATTTCTGCAAACCCATTTTACTTTCACACTATAAAGGTAAAGAATTACACGACAGCTGGGCCAAAATATTGAAACACATCAGGTTCCAGTCATGCTGCCAGCTGTTGATGATGTCCCATATTTATCAATTTAAACTGCATACTTCAGGTTCTCATTACTGCAAAAGATTAAAGATCCATCTAGATTTGAGGAGGACTAAGTATACAAATTCTAAAAATGTGTGTGAAGCTGCAAAGATTAAATAAAGGAACATATTAATTTGGAGCCAGTGAATTACATCCAGCTGCGACAGTGAATTAAGTACCGATTAATGGCTAAAGCTTTTCTCCAGTTTGGATTCTGAAGCAAACTCATTAAGCTTTTAGAGTAGCTATAATGTGTGTACTGTGGGAACTGTTCAATGCTATTCAGGAGACTTTAACTGTAAGCTCAGAGCATTTCCTGCAGAGCTTCTGATGCTATTTTCTTTATATAACATGTGTGCCTGAAAATCCAGCCAAAAACAAGTCCTTTGTTTTTCTACTTTGTTGTGGTCCCTCTCAGCTTTACATTTCTTGAACACAGGTAAATAAACTCATAATCCAGATGGTGCAACAGATGTGAGAGCAGCACTCTGAAATCAACAGACAGTGGGCAATACTTTCCATTTTCTCTTTTAAACGCTAACTAATATGTAATTCGGAATCTCCGGTGTAGTTAGCATCTGCTCCCTTCGGCCAGCCAAAGGTTACAGGTGTTCCTGATGTCATTTCACAGTAAGGCGTGGGTCAGGCTTGTGAGTGAGTGCCCAGGCTCTAATCTTTCCCTACCACCTACCAGTTTTATCATGCTGGGCTTCCATTTGCTGCATCTTCTGTGTTAGCTCCTGCTCTCTCTGCTGGGCCTGAAGGGCTCGGGTCTTTGCCTCATTGTTATTGCTGTGCTGAATGTTCTCTTTTTCTAACCTATGGAAAAAAGAAAGGTGGAGGGGAAAGCAAGCTCAGGAAGTATAAAGATAATGTTACAATATGTATATATTGTAACCAAAAAAATGCTATGAAGCAAACTAAACAATAGCAAAAGTCCAATGTCACTGAGGTAGTGTTACAACATGACAAATCTCCAGGATCAGAAGATTAACTTCCCCCCTTCATGTGGTAAGTTATGTTTATCACTCAATATAATGGATACTAAAATGAAAAATTAAAATTGAAAGAGTTTTTAAAAACAACAGTATATTATGTTTTAATCATTCCTCCATGTAAGCAAAAGGAAAACAAATGGATAGACATACTAATACAAACAAAATCAGCTGGACAGTACCTTTAACAGGAACAGTTAAAATGCCACAAACATTTCTCAGAATTCTTCAAGGGACTAAATGGGTCACGTATGTAGGGAAGAAACAGGAAATTCAAACATTGGGCTAGAAGTTCTAGCAATTAACTCTGGTCTATATTTGACTTCTTTTTCTGTCCTCCCTTTTAGCCCCACATAGCTTACTGAAGAATTTGGAAGAAATTGGACACCTGCAGATTCTTATAACATTTTTGTTGGTCCTAATAAAGGTCTTGCCCAACTACAAATTTTGACTGTGTTCTCTCTTAAGGACTAGCACAGATACTACTTTGTTTTCTTCTGCTGCCATTAAGAACTTATCTGAAAGAAACAGAGGTCAATGATATTTGGGGGTTCTAATCACGTCTAAAGGGACGTGGTGGCACTGTAGGTTAAACTGCAGAAGCCTCTATGCTGCAAGGTCAGAAGACCAAGCAGCCAATATGCTGCAAGGTCAGAAGACCAAGATCGAATCCATGCAATGGAGTGAGCTCCCGTCGCTTGTCCCAGCTCCTGCCAACCTAGCAGTTCGAAAGCATGTAAAAATGCAAGTAGATAGATACCACCACGGTGGGAAGGTAATGGTGTTCCGTGTCTAGTCGCACTGGCCACGTGACCACGGAAACTGTCTATGGACAAATGCTGGCTCTATGGCTTGGAAACAGGGATGAGCACCGCCCCCTAGAATCGGACACATCTGGACTAAATGTCAAGGGCAACCTTTACTTTTAATCAAAAGACATCATGGATCAAAATGGAGATCAATTAACCATGATAAGATATACACAGACATCCTGTATGGTGTAGTGGACAGAGTTACGGAAACTGTCTATGGACAAATGCTGGCTCTATGGCTTGGAAACAGGGATGAGCACCGCCCCCTAGAATCGGACACATCTGGACTAAATGTCAAGGGCAACCTTTACTTTTAATCAAAAGACATCATGGATCAAAATGGAGATCAATTAACCATGATAAGATATACACAAACATCCTGTATGGTGTAGTGGACAGAGTGATGGACTAAGACTCAGGAGAACTGGGTTAAATTCTTGCTCATCCAACAAAATCCACTGGGGGGTTAGAACGTGTAAAACCAATTCTCAAATATTAGGAAGCTGAGTCATGGCAACCAGACTTCTTTCTTATTAGGTTGAAACATTTCGCTACTCATCCAAGCAGCTTCTTCAGTCTGAGGAGAGCTGGTAGGAAGTCCCTGATATATCTTCCACATTGGTTTCACTTTCCCATGGTCTGCGGGTTAAACCACAAAGCTTTTGGGCTGCAAGGTCAAAAGCTCAGCAGTTTGAATCCACGTGGCGGAGTGAGCTCCCGTTGCTTGTCCCAGCTCCTGTCAACCTAGCAGTTTGAAAGCATGTAAAAATGTGAGTAGATAAATAGGTACCACCATGGTGGGAAGGTAATGTGTCTAGTCGCACTGGCCACATGACCACAGAAACTGTCTACGGCTTGGAAACGGGGATGAGCACCGTCCCCCAGAGTCGGACACGACTGGCCATTTGTTAAGGAGGAACCTGGTCTGAACAGGCTCCTTAGAAGGACAAAGGGCTGGGTGTGAGGAATAATCCCATTTCTGCAGTCCTTCTCCACCCATTGTCATGGGTCGTTGACAGTCTCTCTTGTGTCTGTCCCTAATCCTTCTGGGGACAGATGAAAAGGCAGCATGATAAACAGGAGACCGATTGTACCTAAGGCCTCAAATCACAGGTATTGATCAGTGTGTGTAGGTTTTCTGTAGATTTCTATTTCTAAACTGCCGGTTGATCCTATGATGACTGCACAGTCCAGGAAAGCCGGCCGGTTGTCTGTGGTGTCTTCCCTGGTGAACTTAATATTTGGGTCCACTGTGTTTATGTGGTCTGTGAAGGCCTGTACTTCCTGAATCTTAATCTTCACCCAGATGTCGTCCACATAGCTGAACCAATGGGTCTGAGTTGTCCCCTGGAAGGTGTTTAGTGCTGTTAGTGGGTGCTTCACCGGACAGGCTGGAGGGCCATTTCCCTGCCCTGAATGGGGTTACACTCCCCCTAAGGGACAGGGTCCGCAGCTTGGGGGTGCTCCTGGACCCCAGTCTAACACTGGAAGCCCAGGTGGACTCGGTGGCCAGGGGTGCCTTCCTTCAGCTCCGGAAATTATGCCAGCTAGGGCCCTACCTGGAAGAGCAGAGTCTCATGACAGTCCCATATGCACTGGTAACATCTCGCATAGATTACTGCAATGCGCTCTACGGGGAGCTGCCTTTGAAGACGGTCCGGAGACTGCAACTGGTCCAGAATCGAGCTGCACGGCTGGTGAGTGGTGCAGCTGCCAGGGAACATATCAAGCCGATTCTGTATAAGTTACATTGGCTACCAGTTGCTGCCCAGGCCCAATTCAAAGTGCTTGTTTTGACATATAACGCCCTAAACGGCTTGGGCCCTGGATACCTGAAGGACCACCTCCTTCCATATGAACCTACCCGGCAGTTAAGATCTAGCCAGGGGGCCCTTTTGAAAGAGCCATCCTTTAAGGAGGTAAGAGGGACGGCTTGTAGACAAAGGGCCTTTTCGGCAGCTGCCCCCAGACTATGGAATGTCCTCCCGACTGAGATTTGTCTGGCGCCAACGCTGATGACATTTCGGCGCCAGGTCAAAACCTTCCTGTTCCAGAAGGCTTTTAATTGAAATAATATTAGCTGTGGGTCCGATGGCAATTTTAATTGTATTTTAATCATTTTATCTTTTACTGTATTGAATTTTAATTGTTGTAAGCCGCCCAGAGACCTCTGGGTAGTGTGGGCGGCATATAAATTAAATAAATAAATAAATAAAATAGTGCCTTCTTTTCCACTTCTATGCATAAGTTGGCAACAATGGGCAACACTGGAGAGCCCATGGCACAATCATGTTTCTGTCTGTAAAAGTCACCCCTGTAGGTGAAGTAACTGATCAATACCTGCAATTTGATTCTCATCACCCATTGCAACACAAACTAGGGGTCATTAGGACGCTAAACCACATAGCAAAAAACATCCCCCACCTCCACAGAAGTTAATAAGAACTAAGATGGACATATTACAACAGCCCTTCACAAGGCAATGTCCCAACCCAGGAAGACAATGGAACAGTCTGAGGCCCAGAGCTGATGGAAGAACATGGCCATTCCTTACATAGCGGGTGTGTCTGAAAAGCTCAAAAGGATTTTTGGTAAATGCCACATACCTGTGCACTTCATAAGGCAGAGACTCGTGCACCCAAAAGACCGGAAACCAAAACACAACAGGAGCAATTTAGTGTATGCAGTCCAATGCAAAAATGAGTGTTCAGAGCTCTACACTGGAGAAACCAAACAGCCACTAAATAGGAGAATGGACCAGCACAGGAGGGTCAATAGCTCAGGGCCACAATCAGCAGTGTTCCTTCATTTGAAGAACAAAGGACACTCATATGATGAAGAAAATGTACTCTGAGAAGACAGATGGTTTGAGAGAGGGGTCAGGGAGGCCTTACATGTGCATACAGAAAATTCCTCACTCAACAGGGTTGGAGGCCTTAGATACAATCGATCTCCTATTTATCATCCTCTCCTTTCATCTGTTAATGACTGTCAATTACCCATAACAATGGGTGGAGACGGACTGCAGAAGTGGGATTATCCCTCACCCCCAGTCCTTTCTACTTCTAAGGAAGTGGGATTATCCCTCACCTCCAGTCCTTTCTCCTTCTAAGGATCCTATTCAGGCCAGGGAGAAGTGAAACCATCATGGAGGATATATCAGGAATCTTCTACCAACTCTCCTCAGATTGAAGAAGCTGCTTGGATGAGTAGTGAAATGTTTCAACCTAAAATGAAAGAAGTCCAGTTGCCACGACTCAACTTCCAGATAACCATACCTGGACGACTGAGAATCTTCATAGATACACTCCTCAAATACTTCATTCACCCCAAAAGCCATATTAGGATTTCCATAAGTCAAGTGTGACAACAAGGTAGATGAAAATAAACTATTCAAGAATCTTACAACTGTTCAAACAATCCATCTTGCTTCATATACATATACAGAATAATACTGAGGCTGGTGCCAGTGTGCCACTCATTCTAGTTTCCTACTGCAGTTATCTGTTTTGGATTCATTATCTATGACACAGTCCAAATCTTTACAACATATCTGCAGGGCACAAATTAAATTAAAACCTCTTAACACGTTTTAGAGGGAAAATAGCATTATATTTACATAGCTATGTATGATACCACTGTGGATATACTTAAGCCCTATTCGGGCATTACATCTGAAACAGTGTAAAGAGCTAAGTGAGTGGTGGGAAGAGAAGCATGTATATAAACCTTGCCCCATTCTCCTCCTGACCTGTATGTCAGTGAGATCTTCAAGTGATGAATGTGAAGGTCAGAGACAGTAAGCATGTTGAGCTCAATGTGCTTACACTGGTGATGTGATCAAGGACTCTGCCCTATCCGCTTCAGATTCTTCATGCAAAGATTTCAATGACTTAGTAACTGCATCCAACCTCTCCATCATTCTTTTAGGCCCGCACATTCTTTCAAGTATAATGCTTAAATAGGGTTGTCACTGATTTTGGAAACTAGGGAGGTGTGTGCCTGATGAAGT